CAATATTGGTTGCAGCATCTTGCTATTGTCTCCTTCATGAAAATACCTGGTAGAATATATTTTACGGTCGGTTTTTTAAACATTATATTTTATAAACATTTTGAATTGGGTATAAATATAACTCTAAGCTTTTTGAATTATTGCCAGTTGATGAACAATCGGATTTAACAGGATTTTATTGCTTTACTTGCGTTGATGTTGACTTTATTCATCAATTTTTGGGCTATTAAAAGTAATATTCCAAACTGAAATCTTTCTGTGTCCCCAATTTCATCCAGATTCGTTTAACCGTGCCATAATTGAAAAACAAAAATTAATCCAAACTGTCTTACTTTATTTGCATTTATGATAGTTGTAACATAAAATAACACTCAAGATTTCAGATTCAGATATTACGTACAAAATAACAAACATATAAACAGTTATTTTCGGCTAAGTTTGCTATAAACTATCCTTAAAATTGGAAATGGAAAAATGATTACTGAATTTACTACACCTATCCACAGAACACACAAATGGGAAAATGATATAACAAGGGGAGATACCCTTCGCATCGGCATCCGGCAAACATGTCGATGACCAAATTAGGCTCAACGTGATAGAGACCGACCCTACCCACACCTTTATCGTACACAATTTTACCCCTATTAAGATTAAGGATTTTTCTATAAGAAATACTCCAATTATGGTCGTTCACGAGAAGGAGATCGTAGTGAGTACGGACACAGTATTAGAGTTAAAATATACGTAACTAACATATGCATGTCATTTAAAACTGAGGAGACTTATTTCCTAACTCGTTATAAATCCTGAGCTCTTCACACTTATAACAGTAGAATCAAACGACAGTTTTATTTTTCATTGATTGTAAACTTCTTTCTTTTATTGTTATTGAGAAATTGTTTTCATAACAAATGCTAAAGTCTTGAACCCACAACATTCGGCGTAGTAGAAAGCGGCGTGGCAACCGCATAAACCACTACGCCTTCCGTGCAATCGGTTAGGCCACCACATGGGACGACACTTTGTGTGATCCACAAATTTTTGTTCTTAGTCTGGGTGTTCTTTGTGTCCGTTTCATGTATGTTTGTAAAGTCCCCCGCGACACTGCGGGAGTTCTCTTTTTTTAAATATAAAAAATAAAATAAAATAGAAACCACTAAACCAACGGTACCTTTCAAATAACAAACGTTTCAAATATAATAATAATATTCTATAATACTCTACAACATTCACATAACGCCATCTAGTCCCAAACTGAGACAACTGATATAAATACAAATGATACACCTTTTTTTTTGTAAATACATAAAAATTATAAGTAGAAAAAACCCAGACCAAATCATACATGTAATGTTCATGCAAATGTTTTACTTGAGTTTGAATCAAACCCGCGACCAGTGTAGCAGTTCGTTACACAAACCACTACCCCATTCGGCTGTCAAGGATGTCGTCAATATAATTTAATAGATATAAGGGTAGTATTTATATTTTTGTAACAATCTCTTTAGTTTAACTCCATAAACTAAGAAGTTCAAAATTATTTGAGACAAAAATTTTACTCGCGATATAAAAACAAATCAGATTTAATAAATCTTTTTTGTTTTTAACCACAATTACGAATATACACATAACCCTACTTTTGTACATTTGTGTTTCATCAGTCAGAGGGGTCATCGCTGGTGGTCATTTATCGATCCGCAGAAATCTTAATAACAAAAAACTAAAATGAAGCCTAAAAAGGTAATATTGTGATAGGCATCTGATACAACACTTTCTTTTTCTGGCTTAATTTGCATACATGTCTTCAGAAGTGAGGGAGACATGTGCATACATGTCTTCAAAAGAGAAGTTGGTCATGTATTTTCTTTATTGTATCAACAAGTAAAAATAAATGATTTATCATTAAAAATATCAGACTAAAATGTGAAATAATCTGATAGTTTTTGAATTAAACAATTGTTCTTTTAATAATAACATTGAGTGCTATCGTAGCTTGGATTTTTGTAAAAAAAAAAACGGCTTTTCGCTACGTTCATGCTTAAATCTCACAATTTTTCTATTGGAAAGAAATAATGACCTATCATAAAAAGCTTATTGTACGACTATTGTATAAAATACTTTGCTAGTAATAAAAAAGGAAAGTTTAGCTTTCATATCGCCTAACTTAGAATTGTCAGTAAAATTGGTGTTAGGTATATGTTACTTAAATAAAATAGGCTATTTTTTATTCTATCCTATATGTTTGTCTGTAACAATACAATGGTTTGATCGTATGTCGAGATAGGGATCACTGTGTGTAAAACATAATTGTATTGTTTTGTTTAGGCTTTAACACAGGTCAAGTTACTTCATGTGAAAAGGTGCTGTTCCAACTCTAAAATTGGATTTGTTTTTTGATTCTGTTGGCTTTAAATTATAGAATATTGAACATATATTTTCATTTTAAATTTATTTGACATGTAAAGTAATATTTATGGTTATATTTGCTGGAAATCATACATTGTCTTACAAGATTTTTAACAGATATGTTAGGTTATCGATAAATATAATAGACCTGATAATATTTTATTTATGCTAGTCCAGCATGGTAATCAGTCCACTTCAAATTATTAATATTTTGTAATCGATACAATCGTGTCCGTGTAGTGACGGATTAAGAATACGGAATGTCACTACCCCAATTCATCAAGTGGGTGTCGTAAGAGTCGACTAAGGGCGCAAAACAACGCTGGTCACCAGCACTGCAAAAAGAAGGAAAATTAGACACAAACTATATACCAACCCGTCTGGCCAGCGTCACGGTACTATTATAATACAGTATTGTAACTCGGCCGCATGATAGAAATAAATGCCTACAGCCGCGTGGTACTTAAACATGCGTTAGGGCTGCCCGTCTCCAGCATTTTAATTATATTTGCCTACTTTCTGTTTCTGTTTAGATTTGTGATTGTAAATATCCTTTTTATATAAATAAATGAAATACTTTGTATATTGAATAGGAATTGTTCAATAAAAATGCGTGTTGTTTTTTGATTGGTAGATTTAATTAAAAAACATGTTTTTGTTTGAAAAACAAATCGGGCTTATAAATTAGCGACCGAAAAAAATCCTTCTATAAAATAAAATAAATGTGCTTTCTCCATACGCGTTACAAAACTCCAATCCTTAGAAACTCCAACACCTACCACCTACTCAACTAGAATGCAAGAAACAGCTGACGAGTCAGCAACTTTTTATCTCAGCTTATTAACGTCTCTATAAATTAGGTACCTACCTACAACTCGCAACAACTCAAAACAAAAATTCTTTGGTCACCAATTAATTAATTATTAAAAAGCTGAACAGCTGACTACGAATGTTTTAAAATCACAACCCTCAAACATCTAAATATTATATATGAGTCTAGCTGTTGTTGTTAATACCGAGAAAATAAAACCAGTTTTTAGTGGTATATGTTGTTATAGTAGCAGCAGAAACACTTTGTGGAAATTTCGAAAACTGTCTAATGACACACAGACGGTAACAAATTTTTTTTAGTATTATTCATACACACAGATAATAAACAAATATTATTAATAATAAAATACCACGTCTTTAATATGAATTTTCTTTTTTTTGAATTATGCAAAGTAACAAAACAAACATGCACCGAAGTTTTAACACAAGCGTAAGTAGGTAGGTACCTACCGTATCATGATTCATTCAGAACCGCATGTAACTCAATATTTCACTCGTCTCAATAACTTTCCGTTACTCTATTTGCTTTATTTATTCATCCAAAAACCTTTTTTTTCGTGAGATAAAAGGAAATACTTATCCATTAAAAAGACACACATTATGTACCTACGTACTAGTAAGTAAAATTATTTTATAGTCTTACTTTTCAGAGTTTCCAGGTAATTTAAAAAAACTTATGTCTGGATGCGTTATTGACGAATTCATACAACCAAAAACAACACAATATTTCCTACTCGTCATATTAACTGATTTTTAGAGAAAAAATCGCGCGGTTATTGTTAAAAAAACAACACGCAGTCCGTTCGACACTGCGGTACAGCCGTGACTGTCTGCGCCCCGAGCGCACCCCGAGATCGAGGCGCGTAGGTATAGCTCCCGTTTCGTCCGTTTGTATGAAGTTGGAGTACTGTATTATAATAGTACCGTGCCAGCGTGGTATAATAGGCCAAAACCTCCTCTGTAAGAAGAGGCCTATGTCCAGCAGTGGACTATTAAAGGCTGTTGATGTGGTGATGATCGATTCACTATACAATTCAAATTGAAGATATATGATTCTGAATCAATTTTAAATATATATATATTTGCAAGTGCCAATTTACTCAGACTATTATGAATACGTTAGAAACAAATATGTAAAAAAAATATGTGTGGCATTATCAGTTGGTTCATGGCTTAAGACATTCTATCTGGTAGTTTAAGATAGTGTTCAAGAATTTTCAAGAAGTTCTTTCTGGTATTAAGGTGCTTTAATTCGTGAGCAGAAATTAATATTAACTGATAACAGATTACTAGAATTGAAATGTGATGCAAATGACTATAAATTTGATCACTTTTAATACGGTTGGCGGTGTTACACATCATGGAGCTCTAGAGATGGGGACCTTACTTAACAGCGAAACTACAAAGTTTATTAATAGGATTCTTTTCTGGAGCTTTTCTAGAACTGGAGACACTTTTGTCATTATCAATTCAATCGATTTAAAGTTTTACGATTTTGCTCTTTTTTTATGGTCTAAGGGGCAAACGAGCAGACGGGTCACCTGATGGTAAGCAACTACCGCCGCCCATGGACACCTGCAAATCAAAAGCCACAAGTACGTTGCTGCCCTGGAGTTAGAGGGAGAGGATTGGGCTCCGGTAACCTCACTCACTCAGTGAAAGGCAACGAAAGAATTGCTTAACCACTTTTAAAAATATGTTTTAAAATATTTAAAATGTATGTCTTATAAGATTAAGATTAACTAGTTTTATCTTTCCAGTTTCGCCAATGATTTGGGTACCAAACCAGCTGGTAGGAGCTCCAGCGGGCACTGACGTCACGGTTGACTGCCACACCGAGGCTCATCCCCGAGCAATCTCCTACTGGGTGTACGATAACGTCATGGTACTGCCAACAAAGAAGTATGCCATCAACACTGAAGAAAATTCTTACAGGTACAATCAAAATTGCAAAAGATCGCCAGGCGGTCAAATTACGATCATTTTATATATATATATATATATATATATATGCTGATATATATAGATATATATATATATGCTATAAGATTATAAAAATATATTTTTAAATTCTCATAGCTTTTTTATATATTTTTAAACTTTACAGCACATATTGTTAATATTTTTATCTTTATGCACTTCAGCAAATAAGCATTGAATATTCCAAGTATAACATTTTTTTGCGAGCTGTATTTGTTTAAATCAGATGAACAAAGAATGTTCCTTGCATGTTAATGTTTAGATATTATTCTCCATGTGGAAAATAGACAACACTTGACCTGACTTGCATAAGTAATTATTCGAATAAATGACTGTACTAGTTATCATGTTAACAAAAATACTTGTGGTACTTCAAAACTTTATGAATGATAACGGTTTGGTGTCTGACACTTGTGGTGTCCTCGACACAATAATAGATAGGTATAATTACAAAAAAAAAAACACTTAAATAACAATAAGATGTTAACTCACTTGAAAGCTGTTACATCATTTGTTACGAACAAAGTTAATTTGCACATGTGAACGTCTTTGGTAATACTGTCAATTAACGTATTGAAGAGATACAAACATTTACTACTGTACGCTGTATACAAATTCGTGTATTGCTAGGGTACTTTTAGAAAAGAAATCAAAGGATTTTAAGAATTTCTCCTCTAAAGGGATAAAGTAAGGGATGAACGGTGGTATTTAAGTTCGTTATTTTCAAAGTTAGAAGCACGAAATAAGAAAGAATCACGTTGTCGAAGCCCCAGGCGAGGCTTAGAAGCATGCAATAGATAGTTTATTGTATTTCGTTGTCTTATGTTTCAATAACGTCTTTTCAAAATTGTGGGAGTCCTATGTCCAACAGTGGACATTACATGGCTGAAATGATTATGATAATATGAGTTTTATGTTGTTGATAATTAATAGATCAATTGCATTGGTTAAAGAGCTACCTGTCTACTGTTTGTACTGTGAACTGGCACCTCGTGTTTCTATTTCAGTGTTAGCACAATAGGATTAATGTGATGATATATCTGTGTAGGATATTCTTGTAAGGTAATTAACATAATAAAAAAAAGGTTAATAATGCATAACACGGACAAGATAGTCCCTATGATATTTTTATTAATAATCTCTATTTTTAACTGGTTTAAAAGGTCCTCAGTTATTTTATTTTCATGTGAGACGATATTATTTTCCCTTTGTTCTCATTCAAGTTTAAAGAAAAAAAAATATTCCTAAGGGTCGAAAATGAAAGAAATTTCTTCCGATTATAGTGATGTACACAAGATGGCTGGCAGGAGCTGGATGCGAGAAGCCCAAAATCGATCTAAGTGGCGTGCAATGGGAGAAGCCTATGTCCAGCAGTGGACTGCGATAGGCTGATGATGATAGTGATGTAGGCGAATTCATCAACAGCCTTTAGTAGTCCACTGATGCAGGCGCATTAAGGTCCATAATACTTAAAAAAAAGTTAAATTATGATTGACATTGAAAACACACATGTCAGTAGTAATTAGGGAGCTTTGTTTGATGCTCAGTGTTCAATTATTTACAAACAGTACAGTTCTAAAGCTTTGATGAAATCGACAAATAGTCCTGTAGCCCACATAACCATTGTGTCATGTTTTCCTCCGTAACGTGAACATGTCAACGCATATTAATAACACAAGTTATACAAGACACAGAACAGGAATGTGTTCAATATACGTTTAATAGAACTGTGTCTATAATATCTTTACAGAAGATTTAAAACTATCTTATTCTATCTAAAACTATCAAAGAGTGTATATTATTAGAACCCAAATTTTAATAATTTCTAAAATTAAACCCTAATAGTAAAATCTATTATCAATGTTAACTTTAAATATTCAAATCCTTTCTCAAAAAATAAACTAAATTTATCTGATAATTACAAAAGCCAACAGATATAGACAGGCAGCAGGAGAATGCCTGCGCCGGTCTGATAGCAAGTACCAATAACAGACTGAATCAAAAGACAAATACTGTAATTTCTCGGCATTTTATCTCGTTCCTTTTGAAAGTAAAAGACTGAATCACAAAAGTTTTAGCAGAGTATACTTAGCAAATAGTGAATTGTATACCTCTTAAGCGTACAATATATTTTATTCAGTGTATTTGCATTTAGAAGCTTTTATCAAAGATTATTGAAAACAAAGTTTTAAGTCTAAAATTAAACTGTTGAATAGTTTTTAACACAATTCATATTTACTGGTTTTTTTTTTAACCGACTGCCGAGGAAGGGTTAAGTTTTTTGAGCGTATGTTGTACGTATGTTTGTTTGTAATTTTTTTATAACCTTGTATCTTACCAATATAATTCAAAAGAGGGTAATATTTAGGTCAGTTGATATCTCTCCAATCATTCCAATCTTTTCAATCTTAGAACGTACACACGCGTAGACCTACCGCAATCTCAGTCCATCTTTTCTATTCGAGACTTGAGATATTCCTTACCGTTACCGCTGAATCGTCGTACCCGTTTCCAAAATTTACCTTCTTTCCTTCTTTGTCCGTCTAAAAGGATCATATGCGATCATGCCCTAAAGGGCAGTTCATGCCCGGCTTTAAAGACCAGACCTCAAAATTACCCATCCAATACCTGTACAATATTACACCTTGCGTCAAGTGTATTGCACGAATGGCGCAGTGGTTTAAGCGGTCGCCACGCCGCTTACTACTACGCTGAGTGTAGTGGGTTCTAAGTCTGGGTGTTCTTTGTGTCCGTTTTATGTATGTAAGTAAAATCCCCCTCGTCACAGGATATAGTCCTAATGCAAGAGTTATCTTTAAAAAAAAAAACTTATTCACAATCACACTAGTTGACCCGTCTAACTTAGTCTGCGTATCTCAATATGAATATTTTTCCCCGTTTTTGCAACATTTTTCAATAATGCTCAGCTCCTATTTGTCTTAGCGTGATGTTACAAAATCTATAGCCTTCCTCAATAAATGGGCAACAATAAAGAATGTTAAGTATAGATTACGGAAATTTTTTTTTTTTGTTGTAGCTTGATATTTCTAACTTTAGTTCCAAAATGAATTTCTAAAAGCACGCATACATAATGATCCCTTGTTATAGTGACAATAGTAATTTGCTTTTTTATATCTAAATACACGTAAATTCCAATACTGTGTATATAAGTAGTTGATTCGCCTTACTTAACAATGTTCTTTAATTTAAAGAGATCCGAGTTTATCGTACCGGTTTATACAATTCAATTACTGTTTATCTCGATTATTTTTTTTGACATTCTCATCGTTTAAACTTTCCTTGGACTAGCACAAATATTTCAAGACCAAAATTAGCCAACTCGGTATAGCCATTCTTGAGTTTTACTAAGATTAACGAACAGCAATCATTTTTCTATAAGAAACTCTTAGACAAAGTCAGGTTTTGTTAGCACTTATTTTGTTTAATGTTAGTTTTAATTCCTATCGTTTATTTTTTTATCTCTATAACAATTACCTAAATTATAAATGATAAGGATAAAAAAATATAATTGAAATAAGCAATGTATTAAAATTAAAATATTTAACATACAAACGTAATAATCCCTGTATCTTAATCATAAGTATGTCCGGGCATAAAACAGAAATATGACATAATTATGGTTTTATTTTTCTACACGTTAATGATATTTTATGTACAAAAGCAGTATACCTAGTACTACCAACTGGTACCTTCGTTCATCTGTTTAAACCCAAGCAAAGATCGCTGCGCCATTTGCAAAGGCTCCTTGTTCACGGATCACGATGTTGATCTATTAGAATATTATATTATAATTCAGCCCGATATTGTAACCTTTCGGCTTAATATGACCAAAATTATCTGTATTTTTAATGGCCTTTGTTTATGTTATTTTCTAATATAAAATAGAGCTTTCTATTAAATAATTAAGCTATTGTTGAAATTGATTTAACTTACAATATACGTCGATTATTAAGGAAAAAACAATAAATGATATACAAAGATGCTTACTTAACCAACCAAAACACGAAAAAAAAGTTATTTTAAATAAATATGGTCATATGGTATTTTCAATACCAATGTTTTTATATTTATGAAGTCACTTCTCACTCAAGTTCACTTCATTGAAGTGCAGTAAACTTAAATTGTGTGCAATATGTGCAGTAAAGGCGAAAGTTTTGTAAAAACCCATAGATAAAACTACAGGAGTCCGGTATAGATATAAATCTATCATGTTACAAAGGCCTGTACAATGATAGTTCAAGTTTAATAAAATGAAAAAAGTTATTCAAAATGTTCAGAAATCGTCCACCAGGTGATCTCTAGTTATAATAAATACAAAGCTAGGAGTTTGACTACGTTAAATAAATATAACTAAATATATCATGTTGTTTTTAAGTTTCAGTTTATATATCTGTACTACACTATAGTTAGTGAAACTATAGTGTAGTACAGATATATATAGTACAAGTCGAGCCAAGCCAAACTAGTAGATATTGGTAAAATTTAAGACAATCTAACAAATTCATCAATCATGTATATAATTAAAACCATACAATCTTAACTATTTAACCGACTTTAAAAAAAAGAGGAGGTTCTCAAATCGATGGTTTTGTTTTTCAAAACTTTAAATGTTACCACACTTATAATTTATATGATGAAAATATATACAATTTAATATATATATTTTAAAAAGCAGTTCAAGATTTTCACAAAGGACTCTTACCGGTAATTTCTATGTGTATGATTAATGTAGCTCGCCTTATTTTATTTGTCAAATTTTGAGTAGTTTTCTAGGAGTCTAAGGCCACCAATTATACCGTGCGTATCTTAAACTTGAGTGTATTCAACATGTGGTAGTTTTAATAATACGAATAATACTTTTGTTCAACAGAGCTCACATGAAACTAACGGTACGAAACCTGCAAACTGGCGACTTTGGCAACTACAGGTGCATCTCTAAGAATTCGCTTGGGGAAACTGAAGGGTCTATCAGATTATATGGTGAGTATAGTTCCAGCAAATACCTACAATAACCCAACGTTAGTCGGTTAGTAACACGTATGTAAATTATTATAACGAATGGGATATTACGAGTAATATTAAACTGGTACAGTTAAATGTTTTATAAGAAAAATGTCTAACTGAAAAGCTATTTTTAAACTTTTAATTAGCTTCACTAATTAATTAAAAATGTAAACCAATTTTAAAAGTAAATTATAATTTACTTTAATTAATTTAAATAAATTTAAATTAAAAATAATAATTTTAATTCTTTCTTTTAATTATCCTTTCGAAATATAAACTTTGTACTGTACTCGTATATGTAGTTTGAATTAAATGACTGCACGAATGGCGTAGTGCTTTAAGCGCTTGCCACGCCGCTCAGTACTACGCTGAGTGTTGTGAGCCCGATCCATATCGAGAAAAAAAATAAAAAATATTTATTTAGAAACACAAAGAAAATAAAATACAAAAGTGCTCAACAAGACATAAAATAAGTAGCAGATCTTATCAGATAAATATTTAACGCTTTCCCCACACTAGGCAAGCCTGTATTGTGGAGAGAGAGGAGACTTAATAACTTCCATTTGGGTAGTAAATCATAGCCGTAATCATTCACGTTCTTAGCATATTAACTGTGTTAGCACTCCCTATAGCGAAAAAAATTTAATTTCAGTTAACAAATAATGTACTTTGAAATAAATAAATGAACACAAATTTCTTAATTTTAATTAATTAAAACTACCATTTGAGTAATAGTTCTTGTAATGATTGTTAATAATTTTTCCTTTAGAAATCCCGATGCCGTCAACATCGCCGAAGGCCACAGAAATGAAGAGTAACGCTAACAAAGAAAGTAAGTTTATTTAATCTTTACTATTAAAGAAAATTATCCACAATGTTTCCACTAAGGCCTATATTCAAAAACAACAACATCCACATTTAGCTAATATAATAGGGAATATGCACGTGACACCAAAATGGACAAAAAATTTTTATTTGTAATTTTTATTGCTAAAAAAAGATACCCATACAATTATTTTTGAAATTTATTATAATTTAATAGTGAAATTTAATCATCAAAAATTGGCTTTTTTAGGATTCCCTCGCAAATTTCTAAAACGCAACGCTATTGGTTGAATAAAACGTGACGTCAACCTACACTGTGAAGAGTGTCAACAAGTTGTGTGTATTTGTAATATTTGGTTTCTGGTGATTATTTGTTTCATTTTAAGTTAATAACTAATACGTTTTCAGTGTTAAATTATTAAATTCCCGTGTAGAAAGACTCAAACAATGACTGAATATACTTTGTCAGATGCAGTTTTGATATTATTTGGGCACAAAGGAACGGCACAATATTTATTTAATTTTTATCACTCTCTTTTTTAACTTTCACAAACTTTGTGAACTTCACTCCGTTGTTGACATCGAATTCGTCTGAAAGTGTAATCTGACGTCACAAAAAAAGCGCGCCAAAATGGACGTGTTCAAATTGCCCCAAAATGATAGTGATTTTAATAAAAAATTTTTTGCTTAACGGTTTATATTTCAGATGTGTTATATTTATTTTTGGTAATGTAATAACTAGTAGAATCGTTTAAAAAAATAATAAAAATACATGCATATTCCCTATTGTTATCCCACTTATGTAATTGATTTGATTTTTACATAGTGTTGAAGGTAGTTTTGATTGACACGGCTCACAAAATCGTGGCTAAACGACAAAGTGAAAAATAAATATACATAATAATAAAAATTAATAAATATAAATAATATATTTTATCTATATATATAATATTTGCTTATATAATTGTTAAGTTTCTTTGCCGCATCAAAATCTCAAAAAGTTCTACATCGATTCAGCTCAAATTTTGACTCGATTTACAAGCCACTTCAAAGATAGTTATTATCTGTTTTTTTGTCTGTTTCAATTATCTATTTCTCACCTATGTAACAACAATGTGCTACAGCGAAGCGCGGTAGAGTACAGCAAGTCTAATATAAAATGCTTAAAACGTTAGCAAAAATTCAAAAAGAAGACGACGTTTTTTTTATAATTAAAGAAAACTCTGTTTCGTTGGAAAATATTATTCCTTTTAGGTGCCAAACCTGTTCCAAATTTTCAAGTCAAAGATTTTGCTTTCTCAATGTTTTCATGTATATAGGAATATTGAGAAATATAAAGAGAGCCAAGGCTTGGAAAAACCCGCTTTCAGAAAATCTCGAATATTCTCAGAATTAAATGCGTTTTACGGTATTAACAAGGTTTATTATACGATCCTGAAATGTGATTACACCTTTCTGTAACACCCTGTACCTATCTCTATTTACATTGACATGAAATATAAAGTACCTCCCGTTTAATTACTACACAGTAAAACTTTGAAACCCTTAAGTACATAAATATTTCGCTTCCTACAAAGTTACTTAGTCGTTGAAACGCAAGCATTAGAAATGACTAATTTAAGTTTCGTGTTGACATCTGTCGTCTACACTACGTTTGCGTGTTGAGTAAAGTTGGGATACGAGTTACTGTGAGCTGTCGTAGCGGTTTCTAGTATGTCCTAGATACGGCAGATTAATATGATAAATGTAATGACATGTGATTCATAGTGTAATTACTAGAAACACACTTATTCGAACAATATTTCTTATATTTTAATGAAATAATATTATTTTTGGTAATTTCCTCATAGGGGTTTACCGGGTTATAAAATTTCTTTGAGGATGACAATAAGGTGAACCCCCTTCAATATAATCGCACATTAAAATTTTTGAAAAATGCTTCAATCTGACCTGAAATCTTTTACAAAATAACGTTCAATCCTTTGACCGCCATAGATATATTGTTAATCTGGTTATTTTACATCAACATCCAGTACACTATTACCTTGATTAACATTTTAATGACTTGTTTTATGCTTCGGATCGTAATCACACATCCATTATACACGATAATCTTTGTAATGGCATATTTTGGAAGAGCAAAATTAACCTGAATGGCACAAATCGAAGTAATGGTATGGAGAATATGGAATATTGCTGAGAATTACGTCATGGTTTCGCATCAGAACCCAGTCGTGACTATTGTTACTGATATATCGTGCTGAACTAACGCAAAATCATTTCTTCTCCGCTGCTAGAACTTTTTAGATGTTTCCGTGAAAGTGTTCGGCTTATTTCAGACAGAAGTTTTTATCAGCTAATTTTCAAAGCCTCGAAGGAATTCAAAGAAGAGGAACATGTTCTCCTGAATGTTTCTCTTGCATTCTAAAATAAGAAACTAATGTATAAATTGCCCCCTGTTTACTGTGAACCCAAAACCTAATGGATCAATTGATTGATCTTACTTCAATTTTTTTATTCTGAATTTCTGAATAGATGGCGTTGTGTTATCTTTCTCAATCGCGGTATGGTTTCGTTACCGTTATTTAATTAAAACATAATAATTATTCAAATATATTGTTGATCAATATCGGAATAAAGCGCAGTAGTTTAGTTCCTCGTGAAATGAGCCTTACTCTAGTGTTCTCATTCAGTACAGCCCTCGGTCGACCGCAGATCGTAGTCAAGAAAGAGACTGTTGAACGGGATCCCGAGCTATAAAGACGTCAGCGGTGGTATGAGCCCCTGATGGTACCGCGGGCCACTAGAGTTAATAATTACTGCGGTAGGGAATAGGTAAGCGGCCTGAAATGCGATCGTGCCGCAACATTCAGTAATAGGCAAAGGGCAGCCTCTGGTTTCTTCGCGGGATAGGGAAGGTAGGATCCGGGGGGACCTGAATTTACATATAAGGACCATGTCCTCTCCAGAGTTCGGCGACTAAGGCCGGTGGTCAGTGTGGTTTATTGTGGAAATACCATGTACTCCTGGCTCTTAACTTTCCACATCGTCATCAAAAAAAGAGATCTCACATCAATACTATACGCAGAAAAAGGGCGTTATTTCCCGAAATTTATTTGAACCTCTGAATGTTTATCGTTTTACTACTTTGAGAAGTATTATTATTTTTTTCAAGAGACTTACTAGTATGTGTTGTAAGCGATACATGAAATTTCCCAAGTCACATGTTAACACAATAAGCGGTTTACAGGTGTGAGACGCGTAAATGTGAGTCGGTCGGTGTCGCGCGCAGAGCCCGGCGCCGGCACCGAGCGGCCAAGCGTCGTGCGAGCGCAACTCGACCGCGCACCCGACAGAGACGTCGCGCACCACGTCTTTCAACCGCCACATCCACGTCATGTCTCAGGTATAGTAGATCCATGAGGCAATGTATAGATTTTATAAGTATAGTAAAATACTTTTCCCCCGGCGATATGTAGCTTGTACCTACTCAATTCTGTCAACGATCGTTTACAAATAATATGTATTAAGATTACGTTACATAAAATGGACCTCGTTTGTAAACTAAATTTGTAATTTTTAACTTTTTAATGTACTCCTATTTAACTTCCTTTTGGGTTCCAAACAAATTTGCTTTCCCTGGGATTAGACGAGTATCATACTGTGTATGAATATTAGGTACGTAAAAAAGCCGCGCTACAACCGATCTGTTTATTAAACCGTCCGCTCCGCTAACGACTGAACCCCAACTTTACGCTTTGTTGAGCATCTAACTTATGTCGCAGCAAACGCGTGCCATTTTACGCATCATCGTACAATGTTATGTTTATTTAAAATAATATTACGTACACTGAATTTTTGGATAGGACCTCTTTTTGTTCTTCCTAGCTTCGTTCACTTAAATCTAAATTCTATTTTTTTTTGCTAGAATTTTGTAATAGCATTATCTGTAGAAGCAGTACTTTAAATTAATGCAATGAAACATTTTTGTAATTTAAGCTTTTCTAAGTTAGGAGATCAGCTTCCTTAAATTAGTTAATCAGGGTTTGGGCGAAGCCAACAAGGCAGATCTACTACCTATACAATCCCTAAATTCTAAATCTCTTATAATACCTTTTTTATAAATTCATATAAACGTCCTCGTCTGCCTCATTTGGTGAGTGTCCCAGACGCTCTTTCCTGCCAACTGTCCATTTAAACGTTCTAATCCTCCTTAACTGTTATCTGTCATTAAAGCTTTTCAAGAAACTTTTTGCCAACCAATCTGTGGAACAAATTATCGTCTGCGGTATTTCCGGCTGACCTTCAAACTACAACGAAAAGAGCGTACTCTTACCTCAAAGCGTAACGTAAGGTAACGCGTTTGTGATTCCTGAGTTGCAGACGTTCATTTGGTCACTTTCCATCAGGTGACCCGTCTGCTCATTTCTATGCTCTTCAATAAAAAAAGAGGAAAACCGCAAGTAGCAAAAACATTTATATTTCTGACTTTATTTATTAAATTTAGAAATAATGCAATAATAAAGTTTGTTTATAACAAAAATATCCTTTTGTTCTCCATTAAAAGTTACAAACTCAAAATCTTTTAAATCGAAATCCATAAATACTTCAATGGGATTACAAACAAACTACTCCACATACACCTTATATTTTTATCTTCGCCAACGGTCCCGCCACTTAGCTGCCTAACAGAATTACGTGGCCATCAAACAACCAAAACTTAATACATAAAGCCTTTAATATAATAGCGTGCACAAAGCGAGTCTCAAGCCACAGGAGGCTTTACTTACCTCTTTGTATTCTTTGTAACAATATACTGCATTATTAAAAACGTCTTTCCCGTCTCATGGTAAAAAATAAATGTACTCGCAGAAGTCGCAGGCAGTGGAATGGGTTGAGCGGAATATGTTAAAGGCTTTTGCAATTGTTTGAATGACTTGAAACGCTCTTAGTACTTCTGCTTCTCTTGCTTTTTTCTGTGGGAAGAATTGTGTCTCGACCATGTACGCGTAGCTGCGTTTCACTAGTAGAGGAACGCGTACGTATTCGTTCCTGTGTAACATACGCCACTACTCTTAGAATGCTTTTTATGTGTTACTCTTAGACGTTAAGATATGTTTTATTGTTTTGCTTTCGGTTATATCGTAACAGTTTTTAATATAAGGTAGAGATTTTTAATTATTTTATATTATTAACATGCCAAATACGAATTAAAATAATAAAATTACTTTGTGCCAAGGATCCTTACGATGAAACCTCTATAAGGTATAAACTTATATCTCAACAAATCCTTAAATAAATTCTCAAGAATACAGAGACATTTATGATGACAGAGACATTCACTCTTTGAATCTAACTAATACATATACTATTAAATATAAATTCAAATTGATAACATATTAACTTAAATAGCATCCTGAAATTTTTGATATTTTTTTCACCTTTTGCATATGTGATTACCACTAACCATTAAATCGACAGACATGTTAAGAAACAAACAATCATTTAAGTCTTGTAGGTACGTGTGATATATGGGAAATTTAGCAGTAATGACCAAAGTCGTGTGTTATAAACATTTATATTCCTAAGTATATAACAAATCCGTATGCACGCATATTATGGCGACGCGTCGGTGTCTCTGCGCGGCAAACTCCTGACTACTGCGGTTGAGTTCCACCCGCTTCGCTTTCCCCTACACCCAAATAGAGATTAAACATTCAACGAGTTCGCATACACACTTAACCCTTATAAATATTCAGCATAGACCGCGTACAATCAATTCTTGCAGCTCCCACCCTCCAAGGAAAAACTGTTTGAACTGCCGAATAATATGATATCAAATAGAGACGCCTAGCGTTTGAATAAATATTGGGGATATGAAACTTGAATATCTTTATCTTGAATTCGGGTTTATTTTATGCTCGCTTTGTTGTGAGAATATTGGTGATTGATTTATCGCCGACCAAAGCTTGGCCTTCAACGAATTGTAAGGTATATGGAACAGGTTGGTACGTCTGATAGAACATCTATACAGATCTTTTTAGTCCATGAGAGATATACCACAAAGGGTGAGTTGTTTACTCGAAAACATTAGATAAAAATGTATCAAAGTGGAATGTGTTTACATAACAAACGGAAAAATAAAAATAATGATAAATTGTGTCTATTTTGTTATAAATCGGCGTATTCATCCAAACATAAACTCCATTTTGTAACAATAAGAATAAAATATATGCATTTTAGTTAGAAAATAAAAATTATAAACAAATAATAAGTATTTTACATATATTACAGTTGAGTTGTCTTTGCTATCAATATACAATTAAACATACAAATGCAGAAACAACACCCTGTTAACACAATAAATCCTATTGTTTTGCAAAGCTCTGAAAGTAGACCGTAAGCTGTTGAAACGCTCTTATCGCAGTAAAGAGCAAACAAAAAATAGCGACAATACTCTTAGCGATAAATGTGTTTAGAGGACGAAGAGATCATTCTAGCGGCACTGATATACACCTTTTAAAACCATTCCTGCTTTTTGTAACTAAAGCTAAATTTGTATATTATAACGGATTCATATTCGCTTTCTATGTTATATTGTTCTTTTTAAGGATACATTTCTTTATTCTTTTTTACAGATTGAAATATAACAAATAGAAAACTTACGTTTTATTAGTTCTGATATTTTTTAATCTTAAACTTTTCAAGGCTTTTAAGGCCCTCGTTCAGCAGTGGACGGTGGTAGTCTAATGATGATGATTTTAAACATTTTATACCGTCCGTTTGTATAATTTACATATGAATTTTGTTTTCATAACCGTTTCTATGTACCCACTACATTTGTCTTTGTGAAATCTCACAAATACATTTAATATTTTAACATATTGTTTAAATTGAATTCCAAATTCCGACTAGTATAAAAAAACTTTGCTGGTTAAAATTTTAAAATAATTTTATTAAAAATAAAGGACAAGTATATTTTTAATTTCATTTCAAGCGTCAAAAATAGTTTATTGAGTATTATTTAGTTTTATTATTAAAACTATCTGAGAGGAGGTCAATGAAACTGTTCATCTTACCTAAAGTTCCTTGAGTAGGTGCACGAGATGTTGTGGAGTCTCCATGACACGTCTTGTAGTGTTGGGCCACAACTTTGGCCATTTCACCCAATTACATTTTTTGGAGAAATTCACAAAGCAACTGTATGTTGGCTTCTTGCACCCTCGAGCTTTCTCAATGATTTTGATTATTTTATGGACTACGGAGCAAACGAGCAGACGGGTCACCTGATGGAAAGCGACTACCGCCGACCATGAACGAACAGCCTTTGAGGAAAGAGTACGCTCTTTTTTTGAAAGTGTGAAGATCGTATCGGTTCGGAAATTCCGCAGCCGATAACTTGTTCCACAGATTGGTAGTGCGAGGCAAACATTGTCTTGAAAAGCGCACAGTGGTGGAGCGCCAACTATTTATTCACGGGTTCCTTTTCCTTTAACAAATCAGACCTGTTCTGGATATCCCTGAACTTTCAGCCGCTCACTTATGACGTTTAGCATTATTTAGCTGGAATATGTGTTATAAGGTCAATAAGTCGGCAGTGGCTACACTTCTTCGTGGAACCTTTTTTGTGAAGAGAAGTGAATACTGTGTGAGCCCATACAGAAGGCATTTTGCCTGTGAGCCATATCTTGTTGCAAATGAATTGGAAGCTGTGAACGCCACACTCTCCCCAATGATCGTATGGTTTCAAATAGGATGTCATCTTTCCTTGATGCTTTCTCATTCTTTATGTATTTAATACAATCTAAAGGATTGTTTTCATCAAAACTTATTAATTACGTAACTAAAATATCTGATCTATTAATTTTGACAAATCAAAAGAATAATTCACATAGCATTTTTGTTTTGAGTGTATTTATAATAGGATAGTTTTGTTACTTCTTAGTTATACAATGACCGTTTTTGTTTGTTCCAGGCTCTAGAAGGCTGCACTGTTGGAGACAACCCTTCTTGGCGATCATCGTACTAGTACATGTGGACCTTTTGGTCTAAGTCAAGTCATTGTTTCATCGAAATATCTTATCAGGAAATTTACATATTCTATTCCCATCTCGTAAAAGTTTCTCGAACTATTCTTTTATAAATAACTGTTGTTTTAAGTCTGCCTAATAATGTAACTATTTTTTTATAGATAATATAAAAGCGAAACATATCATCCTAAAATGTTAATGTCATATCCCTGAAGAGTGTGAATTTTATAATTGTACGAATTCATCTGCGAGAGTAAGACGTAGAATAAGTCAAATGAGTCTTCTTATTGTGAAACTGATCAACTCAACAAATTTTACTCTTATGTATCTTATCTTATCTTCATGCTTTAAAATGAAAATATCTCAAAATATATAAACAAAAAGATCAAATGTAATGTTTGTTCATCACTAACGCAAATAAGCCAAAACTGAGTTAGTCGGTGCGGTTCGATTCATAAAGCTGTCTCTACACATCTCTGTATGACGTAGCATCGAAACGAAATCTGTGTGTACGTTTAGCATCTAATGAAAGACTATTATTTGAGAATCCGTCATAGCTTAAACAAGAATCTTCACAATAGTTGTATGTAATTATTCATGAACCTCGTTAACCTTCTCGGATTTCCTAATTCAATTTGCATTTTAAATTACACATCAAATGTTATACGTGCATTGTCGCAGTACCAGCATCATATAAATATCATAAGATATGTGATCCAGTGCTTGTCTGGGAATAAATAAACGAAAATGTGCCAAATATACCATCAGAAAGGTATACTATGTAGTGTTTATACAATTCTTTTCTTCTTTAAAGTAGGCCTTCACTTACGATTGTGTTAAGGGTCACTTATCACAAAGTGATCATAATGAATATAATTTGTCTAAATATTAGTATAACCAAGCTTGCTACTCACGCTTGTCAAATTGTAAATATAAAAGTTAATGCACAGTAAATAAATAAAAGAAAAATTTTAAACGTAATATTCTTCGTATCTGAATATTGTTTGTTAATTCGACGTAACATAGAGATAATATATTAATGTATAAATTATATATGTACCTGTATCTTTTATTTAAAATAAGAGATGCGTATGTATATCTATATAGGTTACATCACATAAATTTATTGTACAGATTGTGTGATTTTCAAAGTGTAAATAAATAACTTATAATAAATTAGTATAAAATTATTTGAACCTATTTTATTATGTAGTATCCTATCCGACCGAAAAAATGGGACCATGATTGACACGACGATGAGAACTAGACCAACATCGAAGTACTGAAAAGGTAATTTGCTATAAGGAACAACATAACCTTGTGTGGGGCAGTTAATCGATCGATTGTCAGTTGCGTTTCTTGAGCTCCAGGTTTCCATCGGTTATCCGTTTACTCATTATCTTCCTCATGGTGTAAACAATCAGTTAATACGTCTAATCGACATACAGTTTAATAATATACATAATACTTTGATTTCCTTCCGTAATCATAATTTGTTATATTTGTAATAACTGATTTATTTTCGAAATCACCTTACGCCAATTCTATTTTAATTAAATTCAAAACAGTTCAAGGTTCAATTATGAGTATCTTCTCCATTACATACCACTGAATAGCATTGAGATCCTTTAAACTGATCACAAAAAAATTACCGCGATTCTCTTAAATTGACATCGCAGAAGCCCATTATAGAGCGACACGTGGCAGCGATAACAGTTTGAAATAATTAAAAGTGTGCAAGGCGAGTCGCTCCGCCGCGCGCGCCTTCAAACAATCTTATCAGCGCCCTTACTCACTGACAGACGTTATCGCCCGCCGACGATCGATGACTCGCTTTAATTGATTTCCCACTTTCAATAGCCCTACAATCGGCTCTTTGTCTTTTCCTAATCGAAATTCACCCGAAGTAGGAAATTTTTCTTAAAAAGGAACCGATGGGAAGCACAAAATAAATACTGTTTGTTAAAGTGCTTCGTGGCAGTTGGAAAAACAAGTGGCGCTAAAATTGCCTTAATGGTTGGAGGGAGTTGGTGGGCTAGTGATACAAATACATACATTGGTAATGTTGATATAACAGGGAGTATCGTGAAGTGTGTTGTTTATCTTATATGTATAATTGCAGTTGGGGATTTTTGTCATTTACTTTCATATACTATTTTAATGGTGGCATATGCTATACTAACTTTTAAACTTTCGTGTTAGAACACGAAAGTTCGAACACCCAGACACGACTTAGAAGTCGTGTCTGGGTGAGAATCACATCCACGACCACCAGCTAAGCAGTCAGGGTTACTAACCACTAGAACAACAGGCTAGCCAGCCCATTGAACGTCACTTTTACTCATTAGTTGTACGTCGAACGACCCTCAGTCGGAAACATGGTTTTAAATTATCTACAGCATGGAATCCAGTGATAAATTAAATCTCAAAATATTAATCTTTTTCTCGTATTTTTTTTAAATTTGTTTGAAATAGTCTTTTATGTAGACTCTAAAGTCATAGATCAACACATACAATAGCAACAATCTCATCATCCTCATCAACAGCCTTTAATAGTCCACTGCTGGACATAGGCCTCTCCCTAGAAACGAGGCAAAAATCTCTGTTTTGTCAAATATTTGGCAAAAAAAGAAACAATAAAATTATACCTATCGAAAATCTATTATATGCCTGTGCCTTATGAAAAGAAAGGGCAAAAAAACCCAAGGCCACCCTTTTTTAATAAAGAGATAAATAAAATGGCATCATTAAATATACCACAACATTGTTTTGATGTGGGCCAGTATGTCCGTTATTAAATACTAGAAGATAAAAAGGCAATGAAGAGAAATAATAAACTATAGAGAAAAAGAAATATAAAACATAAGCCCACAGTACATTTCCACTTAAGAAATCAATAAAATATGACCCTGCTTTACTGAGCGGTCGGATACATCACCATAACTTCTTAGCAGTTTAAATACAAAATAAAATCACCATTAGTGTGGTACGTGACGGTACATAACAGAAAAAAAATATATTTAAAAAAAGACGAGTAAATGAAGAACCTGCTACCTATATCCGCCAGTGTACTAGTCAAGGCTGTTGATGATGATGAACTCCTGTGCATTCCCAGCTTATATTTTGCCAACCACTTTGTCTGTAATAATCAATTGCAAAAGACCATATCTAGCGTGTGTAAGCACATGTCCTGTGTGCAACAGTTTGCATGGATGTCCTTTTGTGCCAATATTACGCAGGACCGCCTCATTGGAGATTTTCTAAACACAGATTATTCTAACATTCAACTACAAAATGTAATCTTTATTACTATTATAAGGACAGTGGTGCGATTGAAAGTAATATATTAAAGACCTGAGTAATATGTTTTTTTCATGTAGAGGGGGCAGACGAGCAGACGGGTCACCTGATGGAAAGTGACCATCGGCGCCCATGAACGTACAAACGCGTTTTTAGGAAGGAGTACGCTCTTTTATTGACAGTTTGAAGGTATAAATCGGTCCGGAAATACCGCAGACGATTGCATTACTACTGCATTCTTAACTATCTTTTAAATAATTTTAATTAAGAAAGCATTACTAATTAATAAACATACGTTATAATTGTAATTAATAAACATACATACTCTTAATTGCCATGGTGCAAAATAATATGTTTGCACAATTTCTTCAAGTCTCAACGGCAAAAAGTTCTATAAAAAAAGAACATGGAGAGATTATCGAAAGCTGTGTGTGTTCTATGAACCTGCATATACTTAATAATGCAGTCCCGTCTGTCATTTTAATAATATTATAATATGAAGAAGATATAGAAGAAGAGATACTATCGAACAACTTTTTCCAGAAACAGTAGTCCTAAGTTAAAATTATCTAAGTGTAGTTCATCCCGTATAATGCACGGGCGGGTTCGAAGCCCAGTCCGGCGGCATTGTAGAATTTCACGCTCCGTTGGGTGTCTTATCTTGCGAAGGATATACGGCGGACTTATGATTTTCATTGAAATATATATTTTTACGTGCTAAACTACACACTTTTTACAAAAGAAATGAAATAAGAGGTCAAAAATGCGAGAAGCTTAAATCAATCTAAGTGGCGTGCCGTGGGAGAGGCCTATCTCCAGCAGTGGACTGCGATAGGCTGATGATGACGATGATGAAGGGGGCAAACAAGTAAACCGATCGCCTGATAGTAAGTAACTACCTCCGTCCACGGACAGAGTAGCTCCAGAGTCACAGATTACGTTGCCCCCCTTTGAGTTTATATTCAGTCAGATTCTGCTTGTTTTGATTGATAGATTAAGCCTAGAGAATCGTTTTACAATACATCTTATGATATAGAGAATCGTTTTACAATACATCTTATGATATAGAGAATCGTTTTACAATACATCTTATGATATAGAGAATCGTGTCTCACCAGCCATGATTGCTTTATTCTAATAAAATATATCAGTGTTGACAAATGCTCATTGAATATTCATTCAAAATTCAAAAAAGGAGCAGGTTTCAAGTTTGTTTGTATGTTTTTCTTCTATGTTTCTTGCCTCAGACCTTAGTTAAGTATGAACCAATTTCGAAAGTTACTTTCTGTTCGGTCAAATTCAAATTTACAGAAATAATTTCACCCCAAGAGTGAAAATTTAGGAATGATGAATACTGGATTATTACACTTACATCATGATGTTGGCGCATTGAAGTCGGTTGTGACCACATGTGACCATTATTTAAGGTAAAAATATGGAATAAGGAAACCCCCTCGAACTACGACGAACCTACTACGTTAATACGTGTAAAATAATTCCTCAATGAGACGGCTCTTGCTTCATGAAGACTTTAAGTCTATTGTTTCATCGACAGAAATAATATTAGGTCTTTACCTATGAAATTGCCTTTCTTCAGTACTGGTCATTTCAAAAAAAAAAAGTTTGTAATGGCTCTGTATTCTATATTCAAATTAATTTTCTTTTAAAACCATGACATTCTATTTACAAACTCAGTCTTTTGTTTTTTGATTAGCGTTGTAT